AAAAAAAAAAACAAAAAAAAAAAACAAAAAAAAAAAACGAATCGATTGTTGGGTCTGTTTGCAGAATGGAATCTAACCCAAACTTATCACCTGGAATCTACCCCTCCCTCAGTTCTTCCTGAATGTCTCTTGTCGTCAACGTCCCTGAGCAATCCGGACAGCGTGTGTGTTTAAAGGTGTGCACACGGCCCACCCCTGTGCCCCGAGTCCTGATGAGCTGGCCCAGCCCTGCACCTTATTTATCCTCGCGTGCAGCGAGCCTTACACCGACCGATTGGCTGATCAAGAGGCATTTTTATGGATGTCCCCCGAAGTCCTCAGGAATTATTTAACGTCGCAAACAGGACGACGATCACAGCCAATGGAATGTCCCCGCCGGTATTTATTTATAGACGTCTGGTTCTCGTCTTTCCCATAGGGCTGGCATGCCCCTCAGAACCCCTCTATAGCGCAGCGAGCAGACAAAGGACAAAGCAGCAAAGCATGCGTGCTGTACTCCCGGTGGGTTGGCATGGTGACCGTGACCCAGTGCTTCGTCCAGGGCCCTTCAGATAGCACCGCCCTCTCCTTCCAGATGCTCCACGTGAAGACTGACGACTCTCAAGATTGAGCGCACACGACTCTTCACATGAGAGGACTCTCAAGACAGAACACACATCCTCATGGTAAGAAATGTCGAAGAGGGTAGATAAGGTTAGGTGCAACGTACCTCAAAATAGCTGGCCCCAACCACAGATATTCTCACCAGATGACCCGATGTTGATTGTGATGACCAATCGCTGCTTCGGCACAACCAGCATTGCACCACGTTCCACCTCAGGACCAATCACACATCGGATAGTTCTCATCACACTGCGAACACTCAATATCACCACATAGTAGCCTTCCTGGCGATACCCCTCACCTCCTGGGTCGCCTATCTGGCGCCCGGCGCCCTGACTACAAATGGCAGATCCTATCTAGCCTGTCTACAATGCCGCTGATGACATCAACAGCTCCCCGAAGTACGAGCAGATCTCGGACAATGCCGTTCGCTTCAAGCACCAGGTGTGTCTCTCGTACCACTCACAACCTCAATCCTCAACTCACAGATATCACATGCACCCAAGGACCACCATGCGCCCCATCCAGCATACAGCAGCGCAGCTCGGCTATGGCTGCCTGCTCCTTCAAGCTCGCCTGTGAGCGCGTGAGCGCTGGCGAGCGTTTGCGCAGCAGCACTTGCGCAGCATGCAGCCAGTGCCCGAATGTCCAATGCCTGGGTAGGCCCTTCCCTATATAGTGGCCTGCTGCTGCGTGCGGTAGTGCGGTACTGGGCCTTGGCCTAGAAGCTTCCAGTAGGCCCCACAAGGCTGAGCCTCAATCCAAAGGCAACAGGCCCAGGGCCTGTGGTGGTTACCAGCACCCAACTGCCCTCAGCCATTGTTTGGTCCATGTTGTGGATCCGGCCCAGGGCCTGCCTCAGTTACATACGATGAAAGGCGGCCTGGGCCTGGGCGCTCTCAACCAACTGGCGCTGCGCAACTGCCTGAATTTCCCCAGTTGCGTGGTGACCCCAAAAAAATGGCCTGCAGGCCTCAGTCGAGCCTGCCTTCACTTAGGCGGCCGACCTTGTTGAAAATAGGGCCCAGTAGGGCGTATCGAGGCCTTGTGCCTCGCAATGGTATCTAATCACAGTAGCAGTTAGTACAGGCTAACTTAGGCAGGGGTGAGGGAGGGTACATCCTTCCCTCGGGAAGTAATCAATGCCAACCTTCGGACCTTCCCACCATAAGGGGGAGGAGCGTGTGCGAGTACTCTTTGTAATATCGTCTGACTTGCCGGTGGAAAAGGAACCGGACTGACGCTCCCCAGAATGGAAAAGGAGCCAGAACCATAAGGTTCTGTTTTTTCGTTTTTTTTTTTTTATTGAGCAGATGAGGGGCATTTTGTCAGTGGTCAAACTGATATTCCCAAGGGACTCCTTGGGGACGTTTTTTTTTTTTTTTTTCAGACTCCTTTTTCAGACTGTTTGAACCGAATTAGGTGGGCTTTGTTTTCAACAGTAGGCAAACTGATAGGGGCAATTTTCAATTTCGCCCGGTGGCTGTCAGGCAAGAACGTTGATCGTGAGATCTCTGCCTAATGCCCGGCCGGGTTAAAAGTGAATTGAAGTACAGGGTTTAGCCTCCTGATGAGTCAGTGAAATCCCGACGAAACAGTCTGTCACAGCCCCTCATTTGTTGTCCTCTTCTCCCCCTCTGCCTATGGCTTACCAGGTTCTTCTCTTTGACGATATATATCATCAAACAGAGCTGCCCAGTGAACAGTAGGCAGAGAGGGAGAAGAGGACAAAAAAGGAGGGGCTGTGACAAGCTGTTTCGTCGGACTTTCACCGACTCCTCAGGAGGCTGAAATATTTTGATTTATCTTTTTATTTTTTATTTGGCAAAGAATTTTGATTTGACCCTGAGGCAAAAGTTGTTCAGTTTATTTTTCGGCAGAATATTTTTTCTGTTTCCTTTTTTTTTTTTGTAATAGTTTACGTGGACCTTCCCTGGCCCTTGCCTGCCCGGGAAGGGGACGCCCAGGCAACCAAGGTGAGCCCCGCGGCCTTAACATTCTGAGCTTTTGAGACAAATCCAACCCCTTTTGTTTAGCCCTTGCCAGCCTCTTTATTTTCATTGAGAACTACAGTTTTGTTCCCTGACTTTGTCCTCTTCCTTGTTTGTTTCTCTCATTTATGATCACAGATGGCTATAGCCCCATTCAGCACCTGCCACTTTCATTTGTTTTGTGCGCGCTTCCGACTTACATGTTCTGTGTGGTATTCTGAATTCTGTGATATGTCCTGTGAAGGCCACAACTATATTGGGACTGAGCACTTATTGCTGGGTCTCTTGCGAGAGGGCGAAGGCGTAGCAGCACGGGTACTGGAGAATCTTGGAGCTGATTCTAGCAATATCAGAACCCAGGTGAGTGATGCGGGCGCCTCTGGGGAGGAATGATGACTAGTAATTACGACTTAGTGGTGGTTGCAGTGGGGACAGAAGGAGGAGGAGGGCGAGAAGAAGCAGGAAGAGAAGGGGGGAGAAACAGGAGGGGAAGAAGCAGGAGGAGGAGTAGGCGTAGGAGTAGGAGTAGGAGCAGCAGCAGTAAGAGGAGGAGGAGGATAAAAAAGGAGGAGGACAGTGTTGCACACGCCGACCGTCGGCGACCCCTGACTGGTCGGCTGCCGACCCGCCGACCTGTCGGCTGGTCAGCACCTACCGGTCGGGGGTCGGCGGCACCCCGCAAATTTTTTTTTTTTCCGGTCCAGAACCCCTAATAACCCCACAAACACCCCCATGCCCACGCCAAATACCCCCATACACCCCCCCAAACCCACAAACCGGCCCCCAACACCCTCATAACCCCCCCCAATACCCCTATACCCTCCTATATCCCCTATACACCCCACCCCCAACCCCCCATCCCCAAAAATTTCTCAGCGGATTTGGGCTGTACTCAGCAAGGGCAGTACAGCTTCCAACTCAGGTCTGAAAAAAAATTAGTGGATGGTTGTTTTCTGACTGGTCGGCAGACCGCCGACCGGTCGGCCCTACTGGTCGGCTGCAATACSGTCGGCGGTCGGGGTCGGCGGTCGGCAGGGATGCAACCATGGAGGAGAAAAAAAGGAGGGGAAGAAGGAGGAGAAGAAAAGGAAGAGGAGTAGGAGGAGGAGGAGCAGTAGGAGGAAGAAGAAGAAGGAGAAGAAAAGGATGAGAAGGAGAAGGAGAAGAAAAGGAAGAGGCGGAAGAAGAAAAAGAAGAAGAAGAAGACTAACAGCTTTAAGTTGCATAGAATAATTGTATGAAGGACACCTCTGAAACGGTTTTCACCTTTGTAGTAGCAGATGCAGATTCCAGGGCTCGATCCCTAGATCTTACCCTACCGTGTACAGTATCAAGTTGACCCTGTGTGTTCGAGCCCGCGACCTGTGTCTTGGTAGCTGACTGTTGTCTGTCATAGGTCTGTGTAGCTGGGTCTTCAACCGTAGGTCTGTCGAGTAGGGGTCATAGCTGTGTAGGGGTCATAATTGTTGCAACTCTGAAAGGTCAAGGTCGTAGCTGCTACAGTCCTGAAAGGTCAAGGTCGTAGCTGCTACAGTTCCGAAGGCCAAGTCCACAGATTTCTGGAAGGTCCGGAATTGGCCTTTCGAGTGTTGCTCACGTTAGACCAAAGGCAAATGGGCAATTGGGTAGTCCAACTTTGCTTAGTCTGCGGTACCCAGTCCCAGTCTCACTTTGTCCAGTCAGCAAGAATGTGGGACTGTGTGCACCCTGGGCCTGGTGGAAAGGCAGACCAGCGACCAACAGAAATCAAGAGGCAGCGTCCAGCCATGGATTCATTCTGTTTGAGCCATGCGGAAGTGCTGCCCGAGCGTCCTGTGCGAGGTGGTCTGCAGATGCCCAAAGTCGAAGTGGGCTGCGAGGAAGATAGAGTAGCCATCGCTGCTTGTAGTGAGTGGTAGCCGGTGGCCATAGCTGCTATAGCTAGCGATAGGTAGTAGTGAGGGTGTGTGAGTGTGTATGATACAGGGTGAACGTGTGTGGGACATCCAGAGAGGTCCAGAGTCGGGGAAGTGAAGTGTAGGCGCTCAGGCGCCATAGCCAGTTTGAAGCGAGTTTGTATCTGAACTGTGTTGTCGGCCATAATATCTCTGAGCTATGTGTAGGCGCCTGACGCCAGTGTGGATTGTTATCTGTTTGCATGCATGCGGAGTAAGAAAGAAGACGGGTCTGATTGCATTGGTATCGGAGCAGGTTCCTGCTCTTTCACGTGCCATTGCCGTTGTCAACAGGAAGGAGGCGCACGCCAGTTGGGCGCCATAGTAGCAGCTGCGCTGTTGAAGAAGGAGAGTCCGCCATAGCTGCGCCTCTGGAGGAAGATACCGCGCACCTGCAAAGAC